GTTCTTGCTGCCTCCTCTCCCAACCTCTGGGAAGGCTGTCGAGCACAGGGATTCCCAGAAGGTGGGCCGTGATGAGGGGGGTTATTTGCCCACCTGAAGATGCTCACTAGTTGGGAGGGCCATATGAACAAGGATGAGACCACTAGGAGCTGGCCAAAGAAGGGAGACCTAGAGGTTGGCAGACAGAGGTGACCACCCCCCTCCCCGTGCTAAACATAGATCCCCCCTTCTCAGAAGGAAGACGCTGGCAACTGTGAGACCCTTAAGGACCTGTGCTTTGTTCCCTTGGTTTACAAAGGAAGGGAATCAGAGTGAGGGACCCTGGCACTGTCAATCACCATGTCACAGGAGCCTTAGGTCCCATGGAAATTCCAGGTTTTATGACTGCTCTGTTGCGTGCTAAATGGCTTCAGTTGTGTTCGACTCATAGCAACCACATGGACTGTAGCCCACCAGGCTCTTCTATCCATGGGGTTTTCCAGGCAAGAATAGTAGAGTGGGTTGTCATTTCCTTCTCCAGGGGATCTTCCGAACTCAGGGATCAAACTGGAGTCTCTTATGTCTCCTACATTGGCAGGTGGGTTCTTTAGCATCTGAGCCACCAGGGAAGCCCCTAACTGCTGTGTTATCCCTGTCTAGATGGACATGGACCAAATGACAGGGTGGGGAGAAAACAAGCGTGCCAAATTCTAGGGAATGGAGTGATGATGGTGGTATGCCCCTCCCAAACCCCAGACTGCCATCCTGAGCACCCTGAAGCCCTAGGCTTTTTCGTGAAGTAAACATTTCACTGTGATCTAACCAGTAGGGAGACTTCAGAGTTCACCACAGGCCTAGGATATTGTAGATGGAAACACAGTTGTTGACCTGTACTACCAGTTTGTTTATTTTTTTTTAATTTCCATAAAATGTGCCTTGTACTTTGAATAGGTGTTAATCTACTTTGATTTGAGTTGAGTTGAACTGAACTGAATTGAATGATAATGGCAACTAGTGTGGGGAGGAGGGAAGAGAAGGGTATTCCATTACTGAGGTGAATTTGACAGTCTTTTTTTTTTTCATACTTGTAGATGGGTAATGGGGACAGTGGAAAATGGGAAGAGAACTTAGAAAAATTATGGAGGTAAATTTTCCCAGCTGCAAGGCATAAGGAGAAGGGAGACAAGCATAAATATTGACACAAGGTTCATGAAATTTAAGATCCACTGAGCTAAATTGCATTCCTGGATAACGTTGCCAATACTTCCAGTCTTGCTGAGATGCCAGCACAAACCACGCCCCCCCCCCCAAAGTGAGATGCCCGAGGTGGAGCAACCAAGGTGATTTGACAAGAGCCCTTTCTGGCTTCTTTGAATGAGGGTCAGAAGGGTGGAATGCCTTGTCCAGATGGGGCTTGCTTCTGCCTGTCATCCATAGTGTCACTGAGAGATTGTTTGTGAAGCTCACATGGGACCCTGTCCGGAGGGAGCTGAAAGGCACAATTCATTGCTTCTGCCACCATTCGGTGCCAAGGTTTGGCCCAAATTGGTTGCTAGAGCCACTTTTCCAAGACAGTGTCCCTCTCTGCCACAGTTCCCCTTGGGCTCCCTGCATCCCACCGCCGCCTTCTGCATCTTCGCCTGCATCCTCCTCCCCATTTTCCTGCCCCCCAGGGTCGGGTCCCAGCCATATGGGGCAGTTCACGTGACCCACTGAGGACAAGGCACTTTGTCTGTCACTGTCTTTCCTTCTTGCTTCCCTCCTTCTGGACTTTGGGGATTTTCCATGAGGCCAAATTAACCATGTAAGTGGCAGCGTCCTTCCTGTCTGTATTCTCCCACCCCTGACGTGGAACCTGAGGGCAAGAGAGAAGAGTGAAGCCAGGACAAATTTTAAATGATGTCATTTCAGCCTCCTTTCTCCCCCAGCCTCTTCAGAAAAAGGGACAAGTAAGTACTTAGGGGTAAACAGAGCTTCAGGTGGAGGGGGCGCGTGGCAGGGGAGTAAGTGGGGAGGGTTGTTTGCAGCCACCCCATCAACTGTGCTGACGCTCCGGTACTCAACAGCCTTTATGATTTCCTTGTCTGGCTCCTAACTCAGCGTTTTCTTGGTGGCCAGTCCCATACCTTCCCGCGTCTCCTGACACAAGACCCTGTGTTTTGCTGGCAACAGGGCTGAATCTTGGGGGTGGAACATATCCTGTAGAAAATAAGGAAGACTTGCCTATAAATAGTTTCCTCTGGGCTGCGTGGTACACAATGCTTCAAGTGTGACAAAAAGGGAAGTGAGATGTTCCCCCTCCTTGCCACCCTCAACCTACCGCACCCACCCCAATCTGGTCCCCACACCTCAGCAGCGTGCTCAGATCCTGCCCACGGGTTCTGTGGCCCAGACGGGCCACTCTCCGTCTTCCTGGGCTGTGGGAACCCAAAATAGGAAGGGGCTCCAGCCCTAGAGAGTCTGGCTTTTGAAGTAAAAGAGACTGGTGATAATGTTGAGACACTTCTTCCAGTTCCGAGGGAACAAGTGTTTCAACATCCAGCCTCAGGTGACCTCCAGGGCCACCTGAGATGGTGGGAGTTGAGGAGCTGACCCACCCTCCTCTTGCTGCCCTCCATCTAGAAGGTCACCCTGGGAGGGGGAGGGTCAGCTGTGTCTGTTTAACCACAGAAACCCACAGCTGTAGGGCTAGGATCAGAGCCGGCAAAGGAGCTCACTCATCAGCTGGGTGCTGGGACTGTGGGGGTTTTCAGTCCAGTCTGTCATGTAACTCACAGCATGGGAGAAAGGGAGTCAGGAAACACATGTTGGGGCGGCTGTGCGGTTGAATCCTTAGGCCACTGTTTCCTGCCTGGGGCCCACGTCCACAGGGCACAAGGATGCTGACAGCCTCATGGATCAACACTTTACTCAGAAAAATCAGATCAGATCACAGATACCCTATACAGCGCACACTTCCACTCACTGCAAGGTCTGGTGCAACTATTCTGGACAGAGGAATTTTCTGGTGTGCCCAGGATTCAGCAGAAAGCCTTCTGGGTTCCTCCAATTTCTCCCTCTCCCCCTACTACCTGCCGCATCTTCCTTATGCCTGCTGTTTGAAAATCTTCCTATAGGGACAGTTTTTATTTAGGTTGGTGGCCTTAGTTTAGCAAATCCTGGGGTCCAGGGATCCAGCCACGATTTGCAAACTGAGAACCATGAGGCCTCAGGGGGAATGCTTCTCACTACCGGTTGGTAAACTAGAGGTGAACAGGGGAGAGAGATCCGCTGAGTGTGGGCTGAACCTGGGACATTCTTTCCAAGTTGTTTTTTTAAACTACATCCCTGATATGAGCTTGTTTTCTTGCTCTTGGTTTCATTCTTCTAAAAGCTGAGCACAGCAGGAATGAGGGGAAAGAGTTAATTAAGGGCGTCAGTTAGTGGGGCCCTGGGGACTTTTGGTTTGACTGGATTATTATTCCAAGACTCCCGACCTCATGTGGGGTGCTGTGTAGTCCATCCTGGGAGCCACCTGGTGGGACTCATAGTTTCAGTTTTCTAGACAGAGAGGGCTTTCTTTGTGGACTGTGTAGCTGCCTTTTGAAATAATGCAGGTGAGCAAAGCCCTCTTATAAAGCTCATTTAGACACTTTGGATATTCTTCTGGTCCCACATGCTGTTGGTGTCCTAGACATACTTCGCCTGCCCCCACCTTTTCTTCCTCCCTCACTACTTTCCTGGCACCTCCAACACATCCACCAACTGCCTTGATTCACTCATTCAGTAAACTTACTCCCTGCCCCACTAGTAAGTGTAGTAAGAACAAACTTGGTCTCTAGGTCAGGAAGATCTAGGCTGGAGTCCCAGCTCTATAATTTATTCACTGCACCACCACCTTGGGCAAGGTAACCTCTCAGACCCTCTGTTTCTTCATCTGTAAAAATGACAGTAACAGTGCCTACACTGCCAGGTTTGTAACTCAGCCAACACAGCTGAGCCAGAGCCCATAGCCGAAGCTCAGTGTATGGTAGCTGTTATTGTCAGCGGGTCTCAAACTCAGCTTATTTCTAATTGAAGTATAATTAATGTACAGTTACAGTACACGACTTAGTGACTGAGCAACAACAACAATGTACGGTTCAAACACAGCCTCACTAGCAAACTTCACCTCTTTGCTTTCCCCTCCCCGAACTACCTGGAATTTTATGCCTCTCTCTCCATATAAGGGAGTTCCCATTGAAGGAGCCGGTTTTTCTCCTCTCCTATGCCCTGTTTTCCTGGTGGTGTTTTTTTCCTCCTGACCCAGCTTATTTATCTCTCTTTTTTCTTTTCATCATCTCCCTTGGAATCTTGAGGTGGGTAGCAATAGTGTGTTTAAGAAAGATTTACAAGCAAATGAAAGGTCAGCTCAGACCCTTTATGGACCAGGAAGGCTCTATGTGACACAGAGGGCAGATTAAGATATCAGGGAATTCCAATATCGATTAAGCTCCAGATTTAAGAAGGTTTTTTTTTTTTTTTGCTCAGTTAATGTTCCTGATGATCTATAAACATAGTTTGCACTTTGTCCCATCTACTACATGTAGCTTAGTGTGAACATCTTGTTCAGAGAGTTTGTGACCTGAGGATAACCTGATATCCTGAGATTGGGATTGTCTGCCAGCCAAACTGGGGTGAAGAAAATCACCATCCGGGGCTAGTGCAGTAGGTTTGCTTGGGTAGACATGTTTGTCAGTCATTTGCAAATAGAATGATCTTTGTCCATGTATTACCACCGGTGGGATCCAATGGAGGGCTTCCCAGGTGGTACTAGTGGTAAAGAACCCACAATGTAGGAGACATAAGAGATGCAGGTTTGATCCATGGGTCGGAAAGATCCTCTGGAGAAGAAAATTGCAACGCACTCCAGTATTCTTTCCTGGAAAATTCCATGGACAGAGGAGCGTGGCAGGCTACAGCCCACGGGGTTGCAAAGAGTGGGACATGACTGAAGCAACTTAGCACACACATAGAATCCATTGGGAGCTTCACATCATGCTAAAAAATGTTGGCTGTTCGGTGGCATAACTGCATTGGCAGCCTAGAGAAAATTAAGGCCTTCAGACTAGGCTTAACTAGGGCCTTGGCCAGGATGTCCGTGCCAGGCACCTGATTAGGTGAAATATCCTGAAGCAAATAATAATAACCTTTGCTGATAAGAAGCCCCCAGTACTTTTCCAATAGCATGATTGCACTAAGATATTTATTTGGACCATAGCCTGAATCACAAACTGATTCATGGGTACTGGCCCTAACTTCATCAAAACTATTGTATATGTGGTGGAACCTGATGTTCTCCTTATGGTCCTGAGTTTGTGTAATAATACTCTCAGTTGCGTCACCTGTCCTTGTTTCTCTAGATGGCTCCATCTGGCTGCAGTTCTCCTTCTGTCCACTAGGTGGCCTCACTTAGGAAAGAGCAGGATAAAAGGACTTCAAGCCTCTGATGGTTTGGTTTGTTGTTGTTTTTTAAGATTGAGGCTAGAAAGAATGAAAATATATTTTGATGGAAACGTGTAATTTTTAGTAGGCAACAATCACCTCATCCTCCTTGTGACTTGGAATCTGTGAAGTACCCTGTAACCCTGTATATGACTGGACCCCATCATAGGGCAGATATTTTCCTGGGATGGTTTATATATAGCCTTGATTCATAATTTTGTTGTCGTTTGCTGTTTCTAGGAAAGTAACAAAATCTTGTCTTTAAAAATAAGGACATGAGGGACTTCCCCGGTGGTCCAGTGGTTAAGACTCTGTGCTTTCAATGCAGGGGGAGTGCGTTCGATCCCTGATCAGGGAACTCTAAGATCCCACCTGTTGCATGGCATTACCAAAAAATTTAAAAAGTATTTTCTGGCATCTTGTGGTCACTGCAGTGCCCACTCCCCTACTGGCTCCTCCCCATCCCCTCTGTCACCTGCCTGGCCCCCAGCTGCTCCCTTGTGCATGTTCCCCAATTCATCTGAGTTCCTAAACACTTACAGTGTCCTCCATACAAACACACTGGCACATACAGATTGGCTAGTCTGTGCATGCCACAGATCTGTGCATGTGTCAGTACATGGACAGGTACATCTGAGGATAAGGTGAGTGGATAGGTACTGGGGATAGGGGCAAGCCAGTGGGCAAGCTGGCTGGGTGAGGGGACCTGCTGGTGACAAAGTCTGTGTGCAGGAGAGAGGCCAAGAAGGCAGGTGGCAGGAAGGAGTGAAGGTACTGGTGGTGAGGGTAGGTATCCAGGGCGGCAGCCTGTGATCGCATGGCAAAGACAGGCGAGTGTGCTGGCTGACATCTGAGGAAGAGCTTTTATTTATTTATTTTTTCATTTATTTTTATTAGTTGGAGGCTAATTACTTTACAATATTGTAGTGGTTTTTGTCATACATTGACATGAATTAGCCATGAGGAAGAGCTTTTAAAACCAGTGCCGCCCTCTACCAAAGCTTCCTAGCTCCTATAATGGCATTTGTACTTCTCATTTCTCTAAGAAAGCTCCAGTTTGGTTTTTACCAATCTCCAGAGCCCTCTTTGGAGATGCCAGTTGGCACAATGAAGTGCTGAACGGTTTACAGTCCCAGCCTAAGGTTCAGGGAGGGGATGTGGTTTAACTGGGCCACAAAGCCTGGTACAGGACTCATTTGCATGGCCCCTGACGCCATGTGACGCAGCCGGCTCCTCCTATATAAAGAAGAAGGAGCCGAAATATCTCCGAGTCTGGGTTGGACCGGCGGCCGTGGAGTTTGTGACACACTAGGTGACACCCCTCGAGTCACTTCCTTTCAACTCTGGAACGCCCACCCGGCTTTGGGTCCTCTTGGCAGCCTTCGCCCCCCTTCTAGCCCCAGGGCCCAACGCGCAGAGCCCAGCCCCACGCAGCGCGCCAGCCACCGGCGGCCGCCCAGCCTGCCCAGCCCAGTCCAGCCCGCAGCCCGGCCAGAGCTCCCCGGCAGCCCGAGCCATGAACACCGAAATGTATCAGACCCCCATGGAGGTGGCGGTCTATCAGCTGCACAATTTCAACATCTCCTTCTTCTCTTCCCTGCTTGGAGGGGATGTGGTTTCCGTTAAGCTGGATAACAGGTAACGGCTGGCCACAGCTCCCGAGCCCGGGCGCCGGCGGCGGGGGCTGGGCTGCAAGCGGGATCTCCGAGCGAACCGTGTGCTGGCGGCCCCCGTTCCCCGCGGTGCAGCATCCTGGGAAGGGGCGGAGGTAGGGGACGCGGGGAGGGGGGGGCGGTCACCGCCGCGCTGGGATCCGCCGTCGGAGCGTCCCTGCGGCCGCTGCGCCATAAGAACGAGCTGCCACAGCAGAGGCAGAGGCGGCAGGGCTGGGCGGGAGGCTTGGCGCGCGCCGTGCGCCGTTGGGGAGCAGGCCAGAAGCTTCTGAGCAGAGGAGGAATTCCTAGCTAGCTGCAGGTCTCGGTAGGTTTGCCTTGGACCTTGTGGGCCGGCGCCGTAATGGGCCGGCAGCAGGCGACTTGCTGGGCCGCGCGTCCCCATTGTTTGCACGTCGCCGAGCAGGCCACGCTGGCCCGTGCACCCCCGGACCTGCGCGCCGCTCCCCGCGGAGCTCCAGACAGCAGTGACCAGCAGCCGGCCTGGGTGGGGGAGTGCGCTTCCTGCAGGGGCCAGAGAGGGACCTGGGGACAATTGCCTGAAACTCCCAGCCAGGGCTGCGGTAGAGAGGAAGAGCTGGGGCAGAGGGAGGACCTTGTGGCCACCACTACCAGGTACTTAAGACTGTAACCAAGTGGGTAACGTGGTCGCTTTCCTTTTTGTCTTGACAGTGCCTCCGGAGCCAGTGTGGTGGCCATAGACAACAAGATTGAGCAGGCCATGGTGAGTGGCATTATTGCGTCATTGTCGTCCCCAGACCTGGCTTCTGCTTATGTAACTCAGGGTAGTGGTGAGGGGGTGGGTGCAAAAGCCAAGAGCCTGGGGAAGCTGACAGCTTGTCTCCTCTCCCCTTAGAGGCCTTAAGTAGAGTCCCATAGAAATGGCATTTCCAATCCACACTTGCTGGGCCCTCTCCTTTCCTCCTCCTCCTTCTTTTCCAATCCCAGGGCTTTGCAGCCGTGTCTGGCTCCCTCCTGGGCCCATGGCAGGGCACGGAGCTCAGACACCTGCATTTGTCTACATCCCACACTTGGCAGGGGCCAGAGCTCATTGGATGTAAGCGCACTGCAGTGCCTCTGCAGAGTCTGGGCTGGGGTCAGGAGTTGGGAGGAGACAGGAGGCAAAGCACCCCCCCCCCACAATCCCTTCTCCCTTTGCTTACCAGGTGGAGGTCATACTCACCAAGCAGCCAGTGGCTGCAGGGCTTTGGGGTATCAAGCAGTTAGCAACCACTTCATTGTGCCCTGGAGCCTAAGGACACTGTTCTCTGCCTCCAGTGCAGTCATCCGAATTCAGAGAGGATGCGGCCATGCTGGTAGCTTCCGCCAGGGCCAGTGTCCTGTCTGGCCAGGCTGCAGAGCAGCTGCAGCTCAGTATGCTGGCTAATGAGGAGTGGGAGAGGCTCCAAAATAGCCCATTTTCTTCTCTTGGTGAAGATGTGTCAAGCAGACTGACAGTAGGGGGTGCATTGCAGGTGTTCCCTGGGATCAGGGCCAGCAGCAGGACCTTATGTGGAAATGGAGATAGAGCGAACCACCACCAGTCACACCCAAAAGGCTCCCAAGAGGCCAGCTTTGAAAGTTATCAGAAACTTATGGGGGGAGAATCCTATATAGTTCAAAGCTGGGCTCCCAACTCAGGCGTGGCCCCGATCCCACGGCTCTTCTGAGCGTGGCTTTAGGTGCTTGGGAGAATGGGGCAGGAGGAGCAGGGCCACACAGGGCCAGCATGCTGAGGGAAGTATGGTGGTCAGTGATGTGAGAGACAGCAGGCACCCCAATGGCCAGGGCGCAGTGCTGCAGAGGGGCCGCCATGGCTAACGGATGCTTCTGTCATCATCTCCTCCGGGACAGGATCTAGTGAAGAATCATCTGATGTATGCTGTGAGAGAGGAGGTGGAGATCCTGAAGGAGCAGATCCGGGAGCTGGTGGAGAAGAACTCCCAGCTGGAGCGGGAGAATACTCTCTTGAAGACCCTGGCGAGCCCAGAGCAGCTGGAGAAGTTCCAGTCCCGTCTGAGCCCCGAGGAGCCAGCTCCCGAAACCCCAGAAACCCCCGAGGCCCCCGGTGGTTCTGCGGTGTAAGTGGCTCTGTCCTCAGGGTGGGCAGAGCCACTAAACTTGTTCTACCTAGTTCTTTCCAGTTTGTTTTTTGGCTCCCCAAGCGTCATCTCACGTGGAGAACTTTACACCTAGCATAACTGGTGCCAAGAGATGTCCCAAGGACATGGCCACCTGGGTCCACTCCAGTGACAGACCCCTGACAAAGAGTAGGTCTCTAGAGGCTGAGTTGCATGGGGCCTCATCACCCCAAGCCAGTGAGCCTCTAATGCTGCTGCGCCCTGTGGGCTCCCAGGGCCTGAGCAATTTAGCTGCAACTGGCAAAGGAGAAAGGTAGTTTGAGACGGGCCGCCCGTTTGCTCCAGAAAGTCTAAGGGGTCTGTTTTTTTCATTTCCATGGACATCTTCAACAGCTTCAACCTGACAACAACTGTCCTATGAAGAAACCAATTGTGGTTTAAGCAGAGGCAACCTCTCTCTCCTCCATTGCCTCACCAGGACAGGGCCAGAGTTGGGAGAGATTGAGCCAAGTCAGCCTTCTGTTGGTGAATATGATGTAATGCATGGCTTTGTGCACAGCCCAGTGTGCGATTATGGCTTTGGGATGACCGCTTACAAAGTTCTGTTTGGTTAGTATTGGCATAGTTTTTTCTATATAGCCATACATGCATATATATACCCATAGGGCTAGATCTGTAACTTAGTGTAGTGATGTATACATATACACATACACCTATGTGTTGAAGGGCCTAACCAGCTTTGGAAGTATTGAGTGGTCCCTTATCTCTTAAGGCTAATTCTTAGATTTGTTCATTTACTAAGTGGATCCAGTTTGTCCTTTAGGTTAAGTAAAACTGAAGAGTAAAGGCAGGGAGGGGGGCCAGCCTCTAAATGCCTTGCTGCTGCAACCTTTGCCCCATATGTCCCCTGAATACATGTGAGGTCCCCTTCTGAATGCCAAACCCACCATTCACTGGTGCTGACTACATAGAATGGGGTTGAGAGATCAGCTGGGACTTTGTTATCTGAAAACTTTGTTTTGTTTTTAACGGTTGTGGAAAACTTTCAAGTGCAGAGAATGATTAGCTTGCCGGTGTCCTCTCATGGACAAGGGAATGACTCTGACCTGATGATACCTGGGTGATGTGCTCAGGGAGCTTGTCTCTAGGGAGTTCTGTGGCAGTGAACACTTCCCACTTTCTAACACCTTATCCTGATGTTATGTCTCCAGGATTTGGATTTGGATTTTTCAAATGTAGCTTGAAATTTCAATAAACTTTGCTCTTCTTTTTTTTCTAAAAATAAACCTGGTGTCTGCCTGAGTTTAAAACAGAGTGGGTGGTAGAGGCCCTAATGGTGGTTGGGGGCATTGTTTTTCTGACTCATCTGTTCATGGGCACCACCTGAGTGACAGGCCTGTGCTACAGCCATGATCTTGCATAACTGTCACAACACCCCCATTGTATGGGTGAGGAAGCTGAGACTCAGCCCGCTGAAGTGACTTGCCGAAAGGCACACAGCTATTATGGCAAATTGGGACCCAACCTTCCATCCATCCCGCTCTCCCACTCCTGCTTTCATATGGCAGCTTGGGAGTGAGTGGTGAGGTGACTACTAATGTACAACTTCAGCTTGAAGGGTGATTTGGAAGGAAAGGTATCCCAAGAAAGGCCCCAAAAGAAAATGGCAGGGGGTCCACGTGAGGGAGCAAGAAGAGGGGAACCAAATAAACACAAATGGGCCCCTCCCCTTCTGAAACATCATCCAGATCACTTAGTACATTTACCTTAATACCACCCACAGGAGACCACTGACACTGAAAAAGGAGCTAAGAGGGCCTCAGGGAGAAAAGGACACACAGTATATATGATGGCCCAAACCCCATCCCACTCCCTCAAGGGGAGATGCTCTCAAGCTCTGCTGCTCCACTTGTTACTGCTGAGATTTTGCTCACAAAACCCAGCAGCCCCTTGGGCACGGCCAAGTCTAAGTATCCCAACTCCACTTCCGTCCTCTGTCTCTCCTTGAAGGCATCCTTACTTACCCACCACCCTTTCTTGGGCCCCATGTCTCTGGCATCTGGGGTCCAGCCATTTCTCTGATTCTGGGCATTCACTGTCTCCTCCACTATGTCCTTACCTAGAGCCACCATGGGCCCTAAGCTGTGGTCTAAGCCCCCCAGTTTCCCAAGGGAGGGAATCACTCCTGTGTGAGTGACTCCATTCCATCTCAGCTTCCTGTAGCATATGTACCTACCTCACTTGAAATTTAAAGGAACTCCTTGACTTTCCTGAGCCATAAACCTCAAGGGCCAAGAGGTCTTGGCTCCCTTTCTTGCACCTATCACTGCCCAAATATATTTCAAATGGCAGGCTTCTTTCACTTAAAGGTCACACATGTAGGCCTGTTCATTTCGAATCACTAAACCTTTTCTTCACAACCTTACTCTACTTGCTGGTCTCTCAAATCCCAACTTCCCTTCCTGCTCCTCACCTCTCAACTCATGATGCCAAGTTCATTGTCTACACCTGCCCATCTGATCCATTTCCTGGCTGTGCAGACTTAACAGTTGGTGGAATGGGCACAAACTTTGTATCAGGCAGCTACTCCCCCAGTTCCCCTCACCCCTCCACCCAACCTGGCTCTCCCCAGTTCCCACTTACTCCCATCCCCCCGCCCTCTCACAAACTGAGGGACTTTTCCACTCTTAGGCTCATCTGCAGACTTCCCATACCCTGATTTCCAGCCAAATAAGAACCAACAGATGAAAAAAGGAAACTCAGAAGATGGCCCAGCAAACATACAGCCCTCTCTGGTCATCCAGCCCTTCCCTACGAGAAAGGGGAAAAACATACCCACAGTCACACAGTGGGAAAGAGAGAACAAGCACGTTGCCCAGGCAACCATGACTAAACAGAGACAAACACTGCACCTTCTGAGGCCACAGCAGTTGCTAGACTAGATAAGAGGAACTTTGTGGCTGTTTGTTAGTCACATAGAGGCGCAGCTCTTGTTGTTTTTGTTCCACAGAAAACCAGCAGGGGTGGGGAAAGGCAAAAGAACACATGACTCCTGGAAAGACCTTCACAGCTTGGGGCTTCTGGGCCTAGCTGGTCAGGCTGGACCCAGTACAAGGAAAAGAACCACAAGTACCGAAGCTGTATGTTCCCCTGCCTGGACATGCCCCCTCTCCCAGGACCCTCCTACGACTATCTCATTTGATCCTCATGCAGCCTGCCACCCCCCACCCCCACCCCCTGCCACATCCATGTTTTCTGCCCTTACAAAAATAGACACTTGTGGTTCACCTCCATTTCACAGATAAGAAAACAGAACCAGAGAGTTCAGTGCTACTCCCATGGCTCCCACTGATCCCATGGGGCCTTTATGACATAAAGGGCACCTTTTAAATGTCAAAACTCTTCCCCAATCTATCCCAACCCAAAAGTAGTTGAACTCTTACAGTCATACCTCACTTTATTGCACTTTGCAGATACTTCTTTTTTTTTTTTTAAACAAATTAGAGGTTTCTGGCCACCCTGCATCAAACAAATCTATCAGCGCCATTTTTCCAACAGTGTTTGCTCACTTTGTGTCCTTGTATCACATTTTGGTAATTCTCACAATGTTTTCAACTTTTTCGCTACTGTTATATTTTTATGGTGATCTGTGATCTTTGATGTTACTATGACTTGCTGGAGGCTCAGATGATGCTTAGTATTTTTCAGTGATAAAGTATTTTTTTAATTATGGTATGTACATTGTTTTTTAAGCCCTAATGCTACTGCACACTTAATAGACTACAGTATACTGTAAACATACATTTGATATGCACTGGGAAACCAAAAAATTCACATGACTTGCTTTATTATGATATTCACTTTATGGCCATAGTCTGGAACTGAACACATGGTGTCTGGGTATTATTCACTGATACAGAGAAAGAGAACATGTAATGACAAGCAGTGACTGTAAATTCAGTGGGGCTTTTATAAAGGAACTTACTGTATTTGCCACACAAGCATAGAGGTGGATTTGAAAAGTAGAACAGAAATGTGGGTGGTAGATTATTTACAGACTAAGACTGCAGGAGTGCAAGGCACAGGGCTCTCAGACTGGGAACCACTACAGAAGAAAGTGCTTCTGGTGAGGCTCCAAAGAAAGAACCCACAGAGCGAGATGAGGAAACAGGGCCACTGGGACCTGAGGAATAGGAAGAAGGAGTCTAGAAAGACCATAGGAAATAAACTGCACATTCTCTTTAGGGTATTTTGAAGTATCCTAACATCATCCTACTTATCCTGGAAAAATCTTGATTTCAAATCTCACCTCCTCTCCTCCTAGTTGGCTAGAAATTAATGGATGCTTTATAGGCAGCCCAGTTCCTCAGGTTGTCTCATGCAGAGCTGCTTATTGGAACCTAAATACTTAGCAATTAACCACCTCTGCCAGATCGGCAAGGTCTGAAAGAGAACTCAACCAGTTAGCTATTCCAAACAGAAGTGGTTTCTGGGGAAGAACTTGCTGGAAGGGGCCATAATAACAATGATTAGGTAATAACAGCTAACACTTAACATGGCACTTACTTCATGTCAGACAATATTCTAGGTCCCTTTGACACCTAGTGCTTCTTTTCATCGTCTCTGCAAACCTATGAGGATGTACCACGAAGATCTCCATTTTACAGATGAGAAAATGAGAACACTAAGGCTCAGAGAGGTGAAGCAACTTGTGTGAGGTGAATGGCCAAGCCGCGACGGGGGGAGGGGAGATGGATGTGCTGAGAAACGGACTGGAGAGTCTCAACAGTTTTCATAATTCCACCTAAGTCACAAGAGGTGTTCTGAGCATGGGGCGGGGGCGGGGGCGGGGGCATAGGAAGAAGATCACCCCCAACTAGCAGAAGGGCTAACATAACATTAAAAGTGACCAATGAAGCTGAAGCTGGCTGGCTGGAGTGACTAGGAAAGGAGGGGAGAGGAAGAATGGGGGGGGGGGGGAGAGGAAGAACGGAAGGCTGAGTTGGCTGGTTCCCAGCTGGTTGACTTAAGCTAGGATCTCATAGGTCTGGGGGAACCATGGTAAACTTCTGAGCAGGGAAGTGATGTGATGCCAAAGATATTTGTGGAAGATGGGTCCTGGCAGCTGGGGAGGCTGGAGCAGAGAAAAGCTAGCTGAAGGCAGGCCAGCTGTTGCAGTAATCCAGGTGTGAGGAGATGAAGGCCAGCCGGGGCAGGACGGGGTCATGGAAAGGAGACAAAGGGACAAAGCCAAAAGGAGGTAAAGGGCAGTATTTCTCCAAGTGTGGTCTGCGGTCCACTCGCATCAGCTTTGTTGGTAAGGAGATTTAAAATGCAGATTCCAGGGGACTTCCCTGGTGGTCCAGTGGTTAAGAATCCACCTTGCAATACAGGGGACATGGGATCAATCCCTGGTTGGGGACCTAAGATCCCACAGGCCACTGGGCAACAAAGTCTGTGCATGGCAACTATTGAGCCCACACGCCACAACTGGGGATCCTGCCTGATGGAACGAAAATCCTGAGTGCTGCAACTAAGACCCAATGCAGCTACATAAATAAATATTTTAAAAGGCAGATTCCAGGCCCTATCCCCAGACTAAAGAGGGAAGCAGGTGGGCCTTGGGAACTGATACTTCTAACAAGCTCCATTGATCATGCTGCAGGATGCGAAAGTTTGAGGAACCTCCGCTAAGTGAAAAATCAGCATGACCTGGTAACACAGTGAGTTGGGATGAGAAAGCAAAGTAGCCACAGGCCAAGGATGACTTGAAAGTTTTGTGTTTTCTCTTCTTTTTAACTGTGATAAAATATATATAACATAAAAGGGACCACTGCAACCATTTTTAAATGTGCAGTCCAGTGGCATTAAGTACATTCACACTGTTGTGCAACCATCGTCACCATTCATCTCTAGAACTGTCTCCTCCTCCAAACTGAAACTCTGGACCCATTAGACACCAAGTCCCCATTCCCGCCTCCCCACCCCCTTAGCCTGATCTGAAAGTTTTGTGTCTGGGAGACTGGGGGACCCTGGAAGCCCCAAAGGCAACAGATTCGCAGAGGAAAGATAAATTCCAATTTTGATCTCCAACGGAGCTAACCATATTTACATAGGGAAATATCCTAGAACCAGCTATGGAAAGAACTGTCAGCTTCAAGGCTAGAGCACCAGATGTGGGTATGTCTGCGTGTCACGGGAGCTAGAGTGATGCGAGGGGACATGTGCTCCAGGAAGTGGGTGCCAAGGAGGCCCAGCAGAAAGCCTAGAGCTGCACTTCAGAGGC